ATCGTTTTCAAGGGGAATAGTCAGAACACAGAAAAGAAAAAAAAATAGAGGTGCCATTGTAGGGCCAACTAGATTTAATTTCTGTAAATGGTCTCTTAGATGAGATCTCCTCATGTGAAGGATAAGTGTGGTTACAGAATGAATACAGTAAGTGGGGGAGAAGGTGTACAGGATGAATGGGAAGGGGAACAGACCCATGTATGAGATGATCATTTTTGCAACACCTTTGTTGTTTACATTTAAAAGGTTTGTGAACTGATCATGGGCCAAGAATCGTTCTCATCCATACCTACCCACTGACCTCCTTTCCTACTTGAAAAGTCAGCAGATCTTGAAACGTAGGCAGTGGAACCTGCGTTATTAGACTGACAAGTCATGTCTTTACTTACCTACGTTTTGTTCAACACCTTTGATTCTTTTGCACAGAAAGCACTCTGAGAAACAAGAGCACAGTCTGACCACATCAGTGAGCTAAAATAGCACTCAGAAGAACAATAACTTGCTGTTTGATTCTCAGACCTCTTGGTAAGGACTGCGAAGGCTAAAGGATAGAGCAGCACAGTGAAGAAGTGGTTACCCACAGTAGTGGATAGCAGATGTGCTGGAAAATAGGGCTATTGTAATGGAATAGGTCTTGATTCCGCAAGCTACTTGATGATGTTCCTAAGCCATTTCTGAATAGGGCCAAGCAGGGAAAGAAGAGAGCTGAATTCTTTTGTTGAAAGTTTTAGTGAGGACCAGAACTTGTAAACAATGGTTAAGTATTCCGCTTCATACTATTAAGTGTTTGTAGTCTACTAGTTGTGCATAAGATAGCAAAAGCCATATAGAACTGATGTACTTGCAGTCACAAAATAACATTAATATATCTAGAATACCATGAAGCTATATTCATTGAGTAGGGAGCATGTGTACTGAAACCTGTAAGTTAAATGGCAAGTCTCTATCATGTAACACTTCAGGATGCATATGATAAATAATTTGGAGGGGGATGGAAACTAACACAGAAATTGCTTTTTGCCTAAAAATAGGATAATTTCTGCCTAGATGAGTTATTAAGTTAGCAAGGTAATAACATTTGTAAATGTATAGCAGGTGGAGAGTAGTTTAAAAATATGCATGAATCACGAATTATAATATCTATTTATGTTTTTTAAAACTTTTTTTGTGAATATTTGGTGGCTTTCATCAAACCAAATTTGTAAAAATAATAGTTAACAATGAAGCTGCAGAAGCACTGAATCTCATGCAGTACTTCAAGACTACTATAGCTATTGTGGTTTCTGCAGAGTGTTTGTTGGGTAGTTGGCTGAACCATTTGGTGACAGCGTATCTATTATACCAGTAGGGCTTGGCTACAGTCCTGGCCTTACAGATGTGGTTGGCAGCTCTGGTTTTTTTCCATTAGTATCTGAGCCACTTAAAGAAAAAGTGTCTTATGCTACATCAGGAGTATTATGTAGGCTCATAGTAGAAATGAAAAATTGGGATGATATTGTGTCTTTTACATTTAAGTTATCCTGATACTATTCGTTTCCATTACAAAAGTAAAAGTATACCTAAATCTGTAATTAATTACGAAGTATTAAAATTCATCATAGTGTCTTTTTTTTTTTTAAATCACAGTTGGGGAACTTCCTATATCAGTTAATTTCTTTCTAAACAACCAGTCACTTTCTGTCGGTCAATGGATGTTTGTATTTTAGATGTGTCCACCCTATGTTACAGAGTAGTTTTGAGTTACCCGTACTAATTTCATATGAGGTTATGTATGAAGTTTCAGGCATTCTGAGTACCTGAAACAAACTAGCTGTACCAGTATTTAACTCAGCAAAGACTAAATTTATTCTGCTGGGAGCTATGGTATACTAGTCTGCGTAGTACCACGAAGTCCACACTGCTCCTATAACTTGGCTGTCAACCAGTATTAGAGCTACTTTGTTTAAAGCTGACCCATACCTATCTAGCCCATACTGCCAGTCTGGCGTGGGTATATGCTTCCTATCGGCCAGATACATAGCTTTGGGCGAGGGAAACTTCTGCTAACTGAATTCTCTACCATTTTTCCTCTTCTGTTTGTCTTTTCTGCATTCAGACAACAGAGCTCTAAAATGAGAGGTGCTCACTACCTCAGCTGCCACAGCTATTAAAGCAGGGAGATCAGGGCCTTGCTGCATCCTTTAACCAGATTCAGTTTCAGAGATTGTTCCCTATGATGTCTTAACTTAATTTTTGTTTCAGTTCTTCTATTTTCCCCTCCCTTGTCTTGCTTTGCGTTTCGTTGCTTTCTTTTGACTAAATCAGGTGCTCAGGGAATGTCAATCACAATATGCTGGTACCAAACACAAATCCAAGCTTCTGTGTTTTCCCCTATATTGGAGGTGCCTGAGCAGTTGCTTGGCCTATGTCAAAGTATATTTACTGCAATTCCTTACTTCTGAAATTCCTTCAAAAGACTAGAAAGAAACAAAAACCTCTTTTAAAATTGCTTCCATTTTAATTTTAAATTCAGTCCTTGTTACTAATATTTTTTGCACCCAGGAAGAAACTTCAAATATCCCAGGTCCTCTTTTTTTGTGTGTGTTGGTCCTCATACATCCCCCAATACATACCAATATGAAACTTGCCAAATATCCCTACCCCTCCCAAGGAAAAAAAAAAAAAGAAGAATACAGGAAACCAGGAGTCTATTAGGTAGGAAAAGATCTATAATAACATGGTCTATTGTAAGTTTAATACTTATAAGAATAGGAATAGCATTAAATCATCTGAGTAACTGAACAAAAACTGTAACAGGAGTTCAATGGATGCGAAGAAATGAGATGGATGCCAGTAACATAATAAGCAAATACAGTATGATAATAAGCAAAAACGCACAAGACAGTCTGCTTTTGTTGTTCTTAAAGTATGTGTATATGTTATAGAGCTCTAACTATCCTTAAACAACTGCAGAAGTTTGGTTTCATATTACAGCATTTTGCTAAAAAAGTTTCCTTGTCAAATTATTGTAAACACTTTTTAATCCCTAGGATTGATACATCAAAGTAGTTAAAAGATTTTAACTCAATTATGCTTTTTTGCAGAATGATCAAGAGTCAGCCTCAGGAGTATAGTTTTATTCCTCGAACATGGATCTTCCCTGCAGAATACACACAGTTTCAGAACTATGTAAAAGAACTGAAGAAGAAACGTAGACAGAAAACTTTCATAGTCAAACCAGCTAACGGTGCAATGGGACATGGGTAAGTTAACATGCAACTTCAGTCGTCTTATCCATTAAAGGTGAAATCCAGTGCTATTCACAACATTAACAGAAGCTGTGTATCAGTGAGAAGTTTGTAGTTAAAGTTGTATGTTCAGTATAAGAAGTTCATGTATTGGACAAAGGCTTAACAAGCAGAAACAGCTAAAATATAAAGCTAAATGGAAGTGGTATTTTAATGTTGTTTTGAATGTGGCATAATTAGAGAATGCATTTTCTGATGAGGCTTAAATAATTCTTAAGATCAGGATTATTTTTATTGTGAATTTATCTAAAGAATATGTTTATTAATCTGCTGTGCTTAGACTTATGGGGTGAGATTGAATTGGGCATAAATGGCAGGGTTTTGGTGGCTGGGGGGGCTGCAGGGGTGTCATGTGTGGTAGAAGGTCAGGATCTTCCACAGCTCTGAAACCCGCCCAACCACCCCATTGCGTGCCAAAACTGCAGCCAGTCAGAGAAGCGCAAACTTATTTAAGAGTGGCAGCCACACGGTGTAGGAGAAACAGAGGAGACTGTTGGGGCTGCGGCTGGAGGTGCACTCTTGGAAGGAGGTGACACCCATGCTGGAGGAGGGACACTCCTGCAGAGTCTGCAACCTGCAGCTGAGTTGAAACGGCTTTGCCTGTGGCAGGGCTGCACAGTGAAAAACAATGAAATAACTATTGCAATTTCATTCTTAACTCTGTTCTTAGTTTTAGATATTTCAATTTTAGCTTTTATTGCTTTTACTACCAATTTGGATTATAGAGTATAGTAAAGTTCTTAGTTAATAAAAATATATCAGAATTACTGTAAAAGTAAAGCATCCAAACTTTTCCATTTCCTTATTTTTCAGTCCTCTTCATAAGGGCAAAGATAAGCTGAAGGGAGAGGTAGCAGCATGTTTCAGAGAAATGCCTGGAAAGTACTTCAGTATACTAGGAGTATTCAGCACCAGAACACTGAAATGTATTATAAATGGTAGAGGGTAAGATTAAGGCAACAAAGCTATGGGAATTCAGGGTTAATAATGATACACTGAAAAATATTAGCTATTACAGTTATTTAAAAGTCTGTGTAGTTAGGGACTGCCAGTTTATAGTATGTATAGAAACCATTTTTCATTCTGATGTGGGGAAACTGGAATACAGAAGTACTGAGCTTAATCTTTGCCATCCTTAGTTGTACCGATCAGTGTCCTGCTTTGCAAACATCATCACTGAGTCAGGTTAGCCCTGAAAGTTCTTTGCAACCTGTACCTTGGGCAGAAGTTGTGACAAAGAAAGACTGGAAGCCTATTTTACAGCTGCTTGGGGAAGAATAATCACAAAAGCTGGAGACTGGTCGTTCTGCCAAAGGATTTCAAAGGGTAGAGGGAACCCATTATATAAATTGTTGAATCAAAGGAAGCAGAAAGTTATTTTGAAATGGCTCATTGCCTTTTTTCATCCAGTGAAAGACCATAAAGGACACGAAACCAAAAGCCATGTAAGCGAATGGCACTTTTTCTCTACCCTACAAATCAGATACGTAAGTCTTTTTCTCCAGGTAGACCTTAGCCTGACTACTTGGCTGGGTGACCATGCGAAGCTATTTCGAAGAGTAATGTCAAAGTTCCATGTTTTTAAAATAACCTTTGTTTTTACCAGGATCTCTTTAATAAGAAATGGAGAAAAGTTACAAGCTCAGGATCACTTGATTGTTCAGGAATATCTTGACAAACCATTTCTTATGGAAGGCTACAAGTTTGATTTACGTGTGTATATTCTTGTAACCTCCTGTGATCCATTGAAAGTATTTTTATATCATGATGGACTGGTGAGAATGGGCACAGAAAAGTATCATCCCCCCAGTGACTCAAATTTGGTAAGTTGCAGTTCATTCTGATTTATTGCTTATGCATGTAGAATTTTACCTGTGTAGTGTTTGGAGGAGGTAAAATAAAATAAATTGTGACATGAGATTTAATTCGGTATTCATCTGGCTGAATTTTTGTATTGCCATTGAAGAGAAAAAATTAAAATGAAAGATATTTAACTCATGCTTTTCTATCAAAATCACAAGTATAGCAATATTATTGCTTATGTATAAAAATTTTATATGACTTTGCATGTATGCATGCTAAAGAGTTTAAATATTTCCTAAAAGAAAGCAAAAGATGTCAATTATTGACGTTCAACCCAGAAAAAATGAAGTAAAGAAAATCACTTCAGGAACAGTTACATTGCTTTTATATTTATCTGAGACTCAGTGTGGGGTGGGGTAGGGGGGAGGGTAAGGTTTATCTCCTGCTAGATCGTTGTTTAACATCCCTGAAGTTTAGAGCTTCTGCTGAGGATCCTGCAATGTTTCAGCCATTGTGTTAGGAACCTATGCAGAAAACAGAAAAACAGCGATACAAAGACCAGTGCATGAGAGTGGTCACTGCAGTCCCTGAACGTGAGGGAATCTGCTGCCGGTGCTGTCTGTCAGGGACTGCTTCAGCGGGGAGAGGAGTATGTACTTGTCAACTTCAGGGTGGTACAGCAGGGCTGCCTGTAAACTTGCAGAGAACCAAGAAATGGCAAGGGACATGCTAAAGTTTTTGGACACTTTAATCCTCCCGTTCACTGTACAGCATCTTCCCCTGTTGAGAGGTGTAACCCCTCTCTTCTGGCACAGACCAAAATGCAGATGTCTGTTAAGAAAGAAGTAGATGTGAAGCATTGGGAGGCATCAGTAGATTTGAGTTTTTTATACCTCAGTCTGTACTCATTATCTGAGCAGATAAACAGAACAGGCAGTTGTTTCTGTGTTCTCACAACTGTTCATGTTGTAGTTTGTCTATTGTATGAAATAGCCTAGCTTATCACTAGTGACATTGTTCTTTGGATGACATTGTTCCACGGTGACATTGTTCCAGATAACTTCAGACTAAAGATTAGTTCAGATGCTTAATAAATGTTCTAAAACCACGTCAATATTTTTGTAGTCTGAAAAGTAATTGCTTTTGTCTGAAATAATTTGAATTTCATGGAAAGATGACATTTATAACGATTCAAAACCAAGAGGTTTCAGAATGATTCTCAAAGCAGTAATTGGAAGCTATGGGAGAAATTCGTTATTTGTAGTGCTAATACAATATATTGTTAACTAGCCTGCAATTAAGTCGATTGGGTTTGTTAATTTCATTAAGGTGTTTTAAACATAAGTAAGTGCAGTGAGATAAATTACAGCAGAAGGCTTGTGTTATCTATTGGCTATCTTATCAAAAAGGAATTGAAACAGAAGGCTTATGGTCAGCTTAGAACATCAACTACATTCCAGTAAGGAATCAAACATGACAGAGAACTGTCACTGTGACGAGGACAGTCATCGTGGTAGTGTAGGTGGAAAGCTGAATTAGTATCTGTACTGGCAGATAATGTAAACATATAAATCATGACTTATAAATTGGTCTTGGAAAGGTAATTTTTTTTTTTTTAAATGCAACTGATAACATGAATCTATTGCTGGTGACATTTTGCTCCATAAAGGAACTCTGGCTCTCACTCATTTATGTAATGTATATCTTGAAATTTACCTTCCGCTGATGTACGGCTACCAGCCAATAAAAAATGAGCAATTTTGGCAGATATCAATATGGCAGATGAGTTTATACGTAACAGATATTTTAAAGTACCACTATCATGAGAACATTTCTCATAAATAAACTACAGTGAAAACTGAAATGTGGGATTGTCTATGAAACAGATGCCAGAGTGTTTTTTAGCACTTTTAAAGTAGCGCTTCAAAATACCATCTTTATTGTTTGCTTCTTGTGGAATGTAATCATTCTGTAAGTTATGATAATTGCTCTTCACATTTCTAGGTAGTTATTTACATATAGACCTGTAAAAATGGCAGATATATTGCCTAACCAGATGTTGAGTGGTAGATCGGTTGACTGCAACTGGCTTAAATACGAGCACAGGTTTTGTTATAAGAAGGCTAGAACATTCAGTAGAGGAAGTCTCCAAGAATCAGAAACACTAAATCTGCATATAGTGTTATTTGCAAATATGAACTGTTTGACTATGTCACTATTGATTTAACATGGTTTTTTTCTTTTAATTTTTTTGAATTGACCATGCTAGAGTTGTGTTTAAGGATTTTTTAATGTCTTTTCTCCCTTTTTTAGAGTCAATTGTATATGCATCTGACTAACTACTCTGTCAACAAACATAATGAACACTTTGGACGGGATGAAACAGAAGACAAAGGAAGCAAACGCTCCATAAAATGGTTTACTGAGTTTCTAGAAACAAATAATCTTGATGTCTCCAAATTCTGGAGTGATATTTCAGTAAGATAAAACTAATACGCTTTTCTTTATTTTGTGTACGTATATTCTTAGAAAATTAATTGCTTCTGCCATCTGCTTTACTGGAATCCAGAATGATTTTTGAAACTTTATTAATCCAAATTCTCAGCAATGCATGCCACAAAGGACATACTATAAATGATGATTATGGTTTTTAAAAGGCTAAATTCAGAGTTTGATTATAAATTCAATGTTAAACTTTTTCTGAGGGACAAAAGCCCTTTCAAACAGTTATTCACGTAAGTAATATGATACAAAGGAACCAACCCATTTAAATTCTTGGAGACTTTTCTAGAGTATAAAGTGAATTTTATGTGTGAATATTTAGAAAACTGTAGTCAGAGTTGCATATATCTATGGACTGGAACATGCGCCATTGAAGTCAGTGGTTATGTTACAGGTGTCTTTAGGTGAGGAATAGGCCTAAGACTGTTAGAGCTTAAGCATCATCTGTACATATAATTCTGAGAATATTGAAAATTATATTGCAAAATGAAATGGGTGAAGATTGGCAATATTATACTTTGTTCCCAAAATACCTTTAGCGTTTAAGTTATTATGTGTCTAAAAGTACGTATCTACTCTGGAAAGTATAACAATATACTCTAGAGCTATATAAAAAAAATATATCTGTTACTCCATAGAAATAGTTTATTTATTATAGACCATTTATTTGGTATTTTAAATCTTTTTTTAGTAGATACTTTAATGAAATGTAAAAGATTAAAGTGTGAAACACATTAGCTCAATATATACTGGTGTCTTCTCTCTTGATGAATTTTTCTGAAAAAAATCCCTACAGGAGTTAGTAGTGAAGACTCTCATAGTTGCAGAGCCACATGTTCTTCATGCTTATCGCATGTGCAGGCCAGGGCAAGCACCAGGAAGTGACAGTGTCTGCTTTGAAGTCCTGGGATTTGATATTCTGCTGGACAGAAAACTAAAACCATGGCTCCTAGAGGTAAACCTCTTTAAACAAATGTAAAGTAAATTTTTAAGAGTAAAGTTAACAAAGCCCCAGCTGAATTCATATCTATGTAAGAAAACTTCCAAAGAAAATCTCTGCATTGCAGGAGGTACTGTTGTTGAGTGCGTAGATGGTGCTTTTTCTGCAGCATCCATATGGAAACACTGCCTTGCAGTGGTTTTGGAGACTCAGATAAAGGTAATCGTCTTCCTGGAGGAATGTTGCATTTCAGATGTTTTTGAAAGTTTTAATGAGAAATGTGATGTTAATCCAGTTGTTATTGTAGCTGAAGGACCTTCTTTATAGCAATTGGGTGCTACATAGATTTCATTCATGAGTATGGCTCTGTATATGGCTCTGGCAACTTTTGTGAATGTATGGTCTTAATTTTCTCTTTTTTGGGATGTGTGTTCTTTTCCTCTCCTGTGGCTTTTAAAAGCACCCACATAAACAGAGGAAACTAATTAAGTATACATGAAATGCTGTCAAACAATTGGCCTGAATGGACTGGGATAACTATTTCTCCTCTGACATGTTACTGGTACAGTTAAGCTTAAGTGGTGCTTGAACACATTTTCAACCAGGAATGTTTGAGGTTTGTCTGTTGTGTCTCTTTAATTACACGATTAATAACATATACATAGAGTTCACTTGTCTTTTTTCAGATTGTCTTATATCATTATGTTAACTGGTTGGGAGGCTGTACAGCTGGAGGAAAAAAGCAAAATGTATTAAAAATCTGTCTATTGACAATAAATCATGAATATGATTTGGCTACTGATGCGCAAAATGTACACAATTAATTTACTGAATTATAACCTTGTTCTCAGGCCATTAATACTGTCAACAGTTGTTTCGTCGTGCTTATTTCTCTCAGGGGGTCAGTATAATTTTAATTAGAAAAACATAAATTCCTTCACTGTTGCAATGCAGACATAGGCATATTTGCTGGCTTTGATGTGCCAGCCAAAAGAAGCACGTGACATGAACTTAGTCTGTACTGCATTGACATCTTCTCTTTTTGTTGAGCAAAGCCTGCTACCCCTTTGATTTAGCTCTACGCTTCCGGATTATCATCTGTAGGTTGCCTGTAGCTTGCATATAAGTGTATGTAGTTGTTTAAGTGCAGTCTGAAGTTGGTCTGTGTATGCATTTCACCCAGCCTTGTAGCAAATGGTGACAGACCTCTTCTATGAGAGATGGTGAACCAACCCGTGTGGTGAATCCGTTCTGAAGGACAACCCTCTATCTGCCATGGATGTTTACATGCAGAATGGAGATTTTAGGGATTTGATTCACCATGTCTGATAATGCTTCTCAGAGGAGAATCATACTATCCCCGACGCCTTGTTTGTGAGGGAGGGATCTTGCAAAGTAGTAAATGCTGCTCTGGTATTTTGCGTTGATGGAGAATACTTCAGGACTTGGAGTTGTGTACCTGGTTATTATTTTTTTTAAATACAGAAGTCTAATTATTTCCTTATCTGCTTTTGGTGATACGGGTATCCTTCAACTTATTTTGCCAGACATTGAACTAAACTAACTGAAATTTCAAACTTTGAAACTTAGTAATTCAGCTTCTATACTCATCCACTGAATTTTACTGTGCTTGTTCATATTTTTTGCAGCACTCTCAGAACAAACACACAGTATGTATATGTATGCACACTGTATGTATACTATATGTAGTGTAGTAAAGATTGAATATACAGTGTATATATATACACACTACATAATATATATACAGAGTGTGTGTGTATATATGTATATCCATATATAATTTTTTTTTTTCCTAAACCAGTTCTGGCTTCTTCCCCAGCTTTCCACTCTTATTTTTTTTTCCACCATTTCCCTCTTGCCAAACCCCCCTTAGGGGAGTGAATCATTCTTTCTAACAGTGGTAACAAGTACTAATCACAAGGTTCCGAATGTTCCCAGTGTTATGGGAAAATTGCCAAAATAGGATTAGGATGGTAAATCTAGTTTCATGTTTCCATAGGTCATGTAGCTTTTCTGTTATAAAGATAGCTTAATAAACTATTATAAGAAATAAATTGTGCAACGTTATAATGACTCTGCTTTCCTGAGATGACTTTTGTTTAGATTGCCCTGATGCAATGTAGCTCTCCTGCTCCTTGATGCTACTGAACTTCCGGAACCTTCTACTGAAGTGAGGGCTGTGGGAAATGCATGATTGCCATCTCGTGGCACCAAATGTTTCTGGCAAGCATCTGTGCAGTCCCAGCAGCCTCCGTCCTTTCTGAGTAGTAACAACTACCTAGATTTCCCCTCTGTTCCCAGAAAATCCAGTTTTACTCTTTTGGACCAGAATTTCCAAGCTAGGTTACTTTATGTACATAGGAAAATCATACAGTTGAAGTTCTTGGATGGACTCCAGCCTTGTTCAGCCTCATTATAGCCAGTTGGGATCACAAAGTTGGGATCCCTGGAGAGAAAGATCACATTTTATTAACTGCCTCAAGTGCAGGGTACCCAACTTGATTGTGGTTTTATGTGGGTGAGAGAAACTCACCTTATATACAGATCCACAAATTTATTATTTAGTGTAACTGAAGCTCAGTTGCCCCTTGACCCAAGAGTTTAGCAATATTTAGAACCTTTCCGGTTACTGTTAGGAGGAGCAACTGATGAGACTACTCATCTAGCTCTTTGGTTCAATCCTTTCCTTCTTTTTAATTTTATTTATTTGTAACAAAGACGACTTCCTTTCAGTGATTTTTGTGCCCAGGCAGCCTCTCCCTCTGTTGCCTTGGAGAGCCATTTTTGGGGCTCTTTCTTCTGCTGTCTGTTGTCTTTTTCCTCTCTCTGACGCTCGTACATGGGTTCTCTTTGCTTTCAAACAGTAGCACTGAATCCAGTAAGCACACATGGCTTTAACTGGCTCAATATTTGCCTTCAGTAGTAACTCCTACTCTTTCCACTTTTCCCATGAATCAAGAGTGAAAAAGACTGCAGTTTGATTTAACATATAATATCGTCTTACTATGGGCAGTTGCCCAAAGAGCTGGGCTAGCAACTTGCCTCTGTCTGGTGGTCATGTCTATTGGATGAGATGTTTCTGGTGCTGTTTGGATGAACGTCTCATTTACCATTCCAAGCAAACCATAATTTTACACTAAATCAGCCTGCAGAACTTCCTCACGCAGGGACTTCACAACGTTTGGTTTGGTGCAGGGAAGAGGGAAGTGACATGAAGGCAGGACTAAGAGAGGGGCAGCACCAGTCCTTTCTGGCAGCCTGCAGTCGCACTGGACTAGGTTAAACGTGAAACAGCACCCATATGAGGCAGTTCTGTGGTGCTTAAACTGAACAATGTACCGGCTGCAAGATCTCTGCCTTCCTCCTGTCCTTTGTTGAAGGCATGCTCCCTGCCCCTTTCCCTGTGATGGCACTGGTGCTTGTAGGATTCCTTCCTGAGATGATCAAGGACCAATGAAAAATAATTTTTGGTGAGGTTAATCTTCATGTGGATCGTTGGCATCAGCTTCCTCACTCTCTGTAGACCCCAGTGCAAAGACAATGAAGTAGGCAGAGTATGACAGCTTGGATTTGTATCAATTTAAACTGCCATGGAAGAACAGCCTTCTGCTTAAGCTAAGAAAAAGGGGGTTAGCACTCTCACAATTTGTGAAGATTAGGAATGAGTGATTACAATGAACTTCATGATTGTTGCTAATCAAATATCTGCTCAATGATAGCCACTAACAGCTTTCTGTGTAATAGGATTTTTATGGCTTGTAAATTTCTTTTGCTTTCTGAATTCTATTGTTAGTAATCTCAATCACTTTAATAAAGAATGAGATCCCTTCCAAAACATTCACACTGTCCTACAGATTGAACAGAGATTAAATCCCTGTTATTGAAAGGGTGTAATATTTTATTCAATTGATTATAGCTTTATAAAGTCATTCATGTAATCTCTCTTCATATTTGAAAGGTCTTTTCAATAGGTATGTGTGACAGATAGTGGAAAATTTCTTTTCCTACTCCATGCTAATAGGCTGCAGCAGTGGGAGGTGAGAGTATGCTCTTTGACTGTTTTGGTAAAGAGGTGAAATGCCAGGCTGAAATTTATCCCATGTCTTGGTGAAGAAGAAAATGGTTTATCTTACAAATTTACAGCGTTTAATTTTTTGTAAAATCGGAATCCTTTGCAAATGTAACTGTGGATGGGAGCCTTCACAGGAGGTACTTCAACTTTTGCTGCTTAATTTAAGCATTACAGATATGAGGTCCTCTGGTGACAAGTATGTAATTATGAAATACACTGAGCTACACAACTGCTGTGCTTACAAGCAGTTTGATTAATTGTATGTGCTATATTCAGTGAAATTTTAATTGTGAAACCAACGTTGAAGATTTCAGTTGGAGGAGTTAAAAACTTATGTGGACAATTCAGTTCTATAGCTATTGAAAAGTCATAGAAAGTAAAGAACCTAAAGTATCATCACCAGTAAAGCAGATATTTGGGAGATAAAATTGTGATATTGTAAAAATAATAGATGTGAGAAACATTATGTCCAGGAGTCTATATAGAGGATTACTGTATCTGTTTATTAAGTAATTTTTCTTTTTGATGCGTTGCTGTATACAACACATTAGAAAATTTGAAGTTTTGAAGATAACTTAATCAAAGAAACCTAATGCACGCCACTGCCATAGCTCCAGAATTAGTGTTATAAAATCTGTCATGAGTAGATTCAACCAGATAGCTGCTAGTTTAAGAGTAGTGCTGATCATGGAAGGTAGTCAGCTAGATCAAGCATGTAGGTATTTTTTTGCTTCAAGTGAGGTCCCAGGTAGTGTATAATATGAAGTCACTGTTGAGGAAAAAGGCATTAGTTACCTCTGAGAACAAGTGAGTGGAGCCTTGAAAAGGTATTGTGTGGTGAGACTGTAAAATGTTGTGGTAGCCAGTTTAGTTAGTTGTGCTCTTTGCAGGGAGCATATTATCTGTATGCTCTGGAGATTAGATTATCTGCTGCTTGGGTTTTTTTCTGGTATTGAAGAGGGTTTTTCTGCTCTAAAAATGTTATTTGTGGATTAAACCCTTTTTTGTGACTTAATTATGATTTCTTGCAGATTTACGTCAAGAGTATGGGTGGTTTTGCACATCAGAGACTTACGCTGTGGGTTCAGGTTATGAAGCTTTGGGTAGCAATGCTGGATGAAGATATTCCACATTTTTATACCTCCCATAACTCCATCTACACTCAGTGATAAGTAAACTTTTTAGCTGACATTTAAGGTCAGCTGTCAAGACTGCCTCCTGAAGTTTCTGTTGTGAGAAGGGAGATGCATGGAACAGATGAAGAGGGTTAAAGAGAAAAGTTTGTTAGTGAAGCATCCTTGCACATAGTCATCCTAAATCAAGAGGCAGCTGAAGTATACACATAAACAGTTAGTATGGAATAGCTAATGAACTTTAAATTCACACCTGCTTTCTATGATTAACTTTCTGATGTACCCAGTTGCTCGGATTTTATTTGTACTGGACCTGCATCTGCTGCTACCTGAAACGTATTGCACCAAGCCAAGTTTGCAATAGCTATCCAGAACTGGATCACTGTTTTTACTGCCCCGCTGGTTACTCTTTCGGATTGAGGTCACAGGAGGATTGGGATCTCAAACATTAGTCGTGAATGGTATGTCAGAAAAATTGAGGATGCAGGTGATAAAGCAGTGCTCCAGTTTTAACTATGAATGCCATAGCTTTTCAGCCTCTTAAATCGCTGCATTAAAGTGACAGAAACCTTAGTGTGGAGTGATTGTGTAATGTCTCATAATAGCATTTTGCTTCATAATAGCATTTCAAATGCCTTCTTACATCTTTCCTACCCCCACTTTAATTTTCTGCTTAATAAACAGAGTCGGTATGTTTTTGTTTGTTCAGAAGAGCGAGATGTAGATTTTTGGCAAAATTCATCCTGTAGGAGAGAAACTGTTATTTAAATTATATTACACTTTCCATAGTGTTAATTCTCACTGGTGCTCATATAAGCAACACATAGTTATAGCATTTTTATTAATGCAGAATTTATGCCCAATATTATACTTCAAATTGTTGTAAATCTAGGAAGTACCTAAACCAAATATAAATACAACAGTGTGCACTTTTGTATGCTCTCAAGTTGGATGCTTCAATGCTGTGTAAGCATGTGTCTGTGCATTTCTAGGAATTCAGTATTGGACCAACATAATATTTTACATGTTCCAAATAAGCCCTCGTATATAACTGCAGTCTCACTGGATTTAAGGATTCGGTGTACATAAAAAATCAGAAATTAATTTGTTGGAAGTTTTAATAAATATATTTCTGTCTGTTCACCTGTTTTTAATGCATGCAAAACCATCATTTCGAAGCAGAATATTGTTAGTTGCTACCTGTTCATATGGAGTAAAAAAATTCAATACATGGTACAGAATATCATTTTGTTCTATACCTCACATTTCTCCTGAATAAGGAGTTGGGGCTTGATTTTATGTCTCTGTTTTCAGTCCAGTAAGCTTTTTGTGTACTTAGGTATTTGCTGGACTGAAGCATAAGGCTCCATATTGGATCTTCATGCATATGTATGTAAACATACACAAATCCTTCCTGGATTAGATAATATGATATCTGAAAATCAGAGTATTTCCAACTCATTTCAGTTATCAGCTGTATTTAATCAATGCAGCTCTAGTTAAAGTGTTTTGTTTAAACGTCATGTTGAAAATGAGATGCAGTGTGTCTGTGGTCTTGTCAACTGCCAGTATTCTCTAATGAAATGTTGGAGAACTGGGTTTTAATCCTTGTGTTCGTTTCTCTGAATGTTTACATGTTTGCTTAGCTGAAAGTGGAACATTCACATTAAAAAAAAAAAGAATGTCAATAAATATTTGTACTATCACAGTTTAGAAAAAAAAAATTACCCTTTGTGATGTGATAGGAGACGAACAGGTCAGTCTAAGGAGGTTGGTCGATTAAATATTTGGATGAAAGTCTTCCAAAAAAGAATATGTATGCACTTTTTCACTCTTTCTGCTGAATTTTCATCATTTTTCTTTCAACGTCAGATCTCATTGCTCACTTCGCCAGCCTGTCTGCAAAACCAGCAAACAAGCTGATTCTCAAAGCCAAAAGGTACCCTTTGGCTATAAGCATAAGCGATGGGGCAGCTGGGACTCAGCAGCAGGACAGCTGGTGGCTCACCAGCCAGAATAGTTCTTTGTCCCACAACTGTAGAGGCTCTACGATGCTCTAATGTATCAAAAGTGCTAAAACACAATTTTAATGAACCGCTTTTGCCCTCTGATTTGAACATACTAACTGTCTCTGTATCCCACTTCTTATTTGCCTGGGGCACAAGGTATTAGTTTTCACTTCTGAAGCTCTTTAGTGTCTGTCCCTTCTGTAACCAGCATTGCTCATTCACTGTCAAGGTGAGATTTCTGCCTCTCATTAGCACCCATTGCTCACGTATAAAGTTTTATACCAGCCTGGAAGGTGTTCCTAGAAACGTTGATGGAGCTACTTCATTATCCCTCCTCCAAGCTTTCCAAAAGCTGACGTTCTTCTGCAGGGGCTCCAAAGCTTGGCGGTGGTTATATGGTGGTTGGTTGAGACTCCTGGCTGTTAAGTGTGTGATTTAGTCTCACTGATTCCCAGTTGCATTTCCCTTGTTCCTCTATATTTATGGTAACGTTTTTAATCTCTTATCTTGTACTTAGCTTATAAGCTTTTTGTTACTGAGACTGTTAATTATTTTATGTTTTCACGCTGTGTACTGATTTAATAACTTAGATCTCTAGGTGTTGCTGTAACGTGTATCTGAATAGTTATTTAAATATACTTGAGAAGTCCTTGAATTAGAGCCTCTTTCCGTCCTTATATAGTTGTTACTTTTTAGAGAAGTATTTGAAGTTGCTTTCAGATTCAGAAATAGGAAAGAGTTTAACTCTTCCTGTGCTGGGCTACCGTAGCACGGCACAGTCTGTTATAACGTGTTTAACAGCACTTTGCATGGTAAATTTTCTGGTTGCAGCAACCAAGAATAGATTAGACTGGATTTACAGTGCCAGTACTTGAATGGTGTTCATTGTAAGTGTCTGGATAACTCGGTGGCTGAAAGGTACATCTCCTGGCTCCCAGTATCTGTGATACTCAGTGCTCTATTTTTTTAAAAATACAAATGAAAATGAGCTTCTCAACATGTATTCTCTTAATCTCTGCTACATTTGAAAGAATGGTTTCTCCAAAGCCTCTTACAATAGATGTGTTCCCAGTGAAGGTGAACATTCCTGAGTCTTCTGTATCTCGTTTTTTCAGATTAATCGTGCCCCAAGCTTTGGAACTGATCAAAAAATAGACTATGATGTAAAAAAAGGTGTTCTGCTAAATGCATTAAAGCTTCTCAACATACGGTAAACTTGTCCTCTTTTCTTCAGTCTGGCTCTCTTGCTGTTGCTTTGATTTTATTTTTTTTTTAAATTTGAACTGGACTAGGAGAAAATGAAGACCTTTTTTTTCCACCTTCATATTTTCAAAATGTAAATGTTTCCCTTGCTGTCAGTTTTGCTATTGAAATTAACCCAAATTTAATTTTTCTTCTTGCTCATGTGCTTGCAAAAAATGAGTGGTAACAGTAACTTTTGTACTTTTTAAAAATTTTTTAAATGATTTTTCAAACAGGTCTCAAAGTGGGGATATGAGTGCATGTGGCCATACAGGAAATTTTGTTTTGGCGATAGTTTCACATCCAGTCAAAAGCCATACCCCTCTACAGGAAAATTTTGTAGTTGGGATATGTTGGAGAAAATCTGTACTTCAGGAAAATAGATACAACCATGTTTCACACCTTAAAGTGTGAAAATATTGCAGCCATAAAAGTTAATATTTTAAAAAAATTCTTAATGAGTGTTTCAGTTCTAATTTTATACCATAAACTGCACATGACTGACTGAAAAATACAGATGATATACTTGAGATGAAAGTACATCTCATCTCAGCTGCATTGGATTGACATATCTTAATATCATCTGTGTTTCAGGACAAGTGATAAAAGGAGAAATTTAGCTCAACAGAAGGCTGAGGCTCAAAAAAGACTGTATGGTCAAGGTTCAATGAAAAAACTGTTGCCCGGTTCCTCAGACTGGGAGAAGCAGCGCCACACACTGGAAAGGAGAAAAGAAGAACTGGTAGGAAGGAAAAAATGTGCTGTTTCTTGCCCGTGGCTTATGCTCTCTTTGTTTTAATTGTCTTATTTTCTTGATTTATAGAAGGAAAGACTTGCACAAGTACGTAAACAGATTTCCAAAGAGGAGCATGAAAATAGACACATGGGGAACTACAGGTAACTATTTTTGACTGTATTAGTAGGAAGTATCAATGCATTCTTTAGGAATAATGGAAACAAGTATTTATGGTAGATGATGTTCCTGCCAAAAATGTGTAGGCATTTATAGAAAATGTATGCATGTACACCAGGTAGTAAAGTTGTTTTTTCAGATAGTTCTTTTTGCATGCACTTAGGAATTTATATGACATCAATCACTCTAGTGTTTGTGCAAGACATTTGCTTGAAAGACATGATTGCTCACATTCAGTGTACCAAGAACCAAGACTGTCATTATGGACCTGTTCTACAATCACATATGATTCTTATCTCTGGGGGGGGTGGGGGTGGGGGTGGGGCAATGTAGGGGTGTGAGTATTCCCCTATAAAAAAAAACAAAGTCTGAGTATTCCCCTATAAAAAATAAAATCTGAATGTTATCTACGAGGCTTACCAAAAGTTCAGAAACTATTGGTGCTTCCATCATTTTTGATAGAATGGCACTTGAAATACTATATTCAGATCTCTGCACTTTGATTTTGGATCTTAGTAGGCTTACTTAAACGTAAGTATCTTCAGATTCCTTGGTAAAATACGTTCAAAAGGAAGTTTTAATTTGTTGGTTATAATAGGCATTGGCCAGAAAACAAGAATTTTGTTTTATGATGTTATTATTATTATTATTATTATTATTATTATTTCTTGGTATTTGCTTCAATGAGAAGTGAAAGCAAGGCCTATGAATATTTGGCGAAAGGGAGCGGAGTATGGCTAGGAAGAGATGATGGGAGCATTTGCCCACTCTTTGTAACATTCATCCAGGACGTGGGAGGTCTGGATTCACATCTTTTATTCTGAATTAGTCAGAATGCCTTTACTGCTGTTCTTCATCTCTGCTTTTTTGAGCAGATGTTCTATAATTCCCAGTAAAGTTCTCATTTAAACAGACACATGTTTCTGTGAAATTTTCATTTTTGATGAATTAACATTTTGCTTACGAATAGTCTTTCTTTGTAACATTCCTAGTTTTAATTACATCCTTTCTTGACATATGTGGAGCTGAACTAGTACATCAAAAAACCCCACAATGAAGCAGTTATTTTTATGCTACTTAGACTATAAGAAAGAGAAACATCATGAGGCTTTAGTACATTTTGCTTTTTTGATAACTTTAAAGTCTAACTTTTTGACTGATCGCATTTTAGGTTGCTTATTCAGTTCTTGACTGAAAATGAGCCAAATGTTCTCTTTATTTAGCTTTTCGGTTAATGTAAATCAATAAAAATACAAATTTTTTTTTCCTCAGGAAAAAATGAAGTGTCACTTCATGAGGAATGTGCACATGTAAAAGGGCAGAACAGCTTTGTGTTTTCTTACTACCATGTGTTTGCAAAAGGCAGAAGAATCAGCAGAGCCTGAGAAGTAAAGAAATCTTGGCTAGAGATGCAGAGAAATTTCGTCTGAGCGTTATGCAGTATTTTCTCCTTGTGATGTTCTCCTGCAGAGCAGGACTAGCTTCTGTCAGGCATTGCCATAGAGTCACGGAAATTTTGGGTGCTAGTATTGCTGCATGGATTAATACTGCTTTCTGAACAAAAATCCAGAGAAACCTCAATCATCCTCAGCAGGCTTTGATTTAATCTATGAATGTCAGGTTCAGCAACTGGCTTAGTCAAGTGTCTGTCTGCAGGCACAACTAGCCCGCTGATTCCAGTAGGAGTCCTGGGGTGGTCAAAGTAGGAGCCATGCTTTCAAGCATTTGTGAATTCATGAGGAACTGAAAAGGGTGTATATGACTTTGAAATGGCCTTTAGCTGCAGTGTATTGCTACATATGTTAAAATGAATATCCTTTCTTTAAAAGTATTGTTCTATGGCACTTTTTCAGCAGTAGAATCAACACCATTAAAAAGTGTTGACTGCAACTAGATTAGAGCTCCTACAGGTATTTTATGCAAACTGGAACCATCTTCAGTTTGCTGTAGAAATGCCCTGAGTCTAATGGGATCACAACCATCCTTTTTTCATTGCAACAAAATCATCGTGAAAGATACCTTTTCAAGGAGGAAGAGACTGAAAAGGAAGGAGAAAGAACCTCGTAAAAAGTTCACAAAAGATCCACAAAAACATAAAAGTCACATAATGCCAGTCAATATATAAATGGTACCTATGCTTTGCACAGTGCAGGCAGAATTAACTTATGGATTACTCCTTACAATACATTAGAAATTAGTCTTCCACCTTCATAATTTCTGGCTGTGTTTCAGGCATTCATGACAAATGGATTGGAGTGGTTTTCTTCAAAGCCCGTTGTTGCTTGATGAGCATGAGTAAATCACCAAGTCCTGCTTCTCATGTTGTCGTAATCTCCTTACCCGTGGTTTTAGAGAATAATGCCATGGCTGCTCTAATGGAAAATCAGAGCCACCCTGTACATCCGTGTACCAGAAATTTTTTTTTTCTTGTAGTATCTATTTCTTCCTGTTCATTATTTTGGAGGATTTAGCATTCAAGTGCAGTACATATTCAATCTTCAATTTACATCGTGCCCAACTCAAAGCAGTTGTTCAGATTTTCACTGTTTTGTGTCCTTTTACTGCTAATACAAGTTATTTTGTGGCTCTGAATTTTACATGCAATATTTTGTTAATATTTCATGACTCATTCACACCTGTGTGCATCATTCACACCCACTGAAATTTCAGAGTACTGCAAAACTGAATTTTGGTATATCTCTGGAATGACCTGCATGGTATTTCTTTTGACTGGCTAATTGCTGGTTTAGACATGAATGTGTTCGCTGAGTTAAAATTAGATTTAGAGAACAATGTTCAGAGTATATGTTTTATGATATTATATTATATAATTATTATAGATGGGATGCATATGCATTATAGAAGAGACTGTGAATTAGCTGCATTACTTTTGTTCCTAGTGTGGTAAGTAGCTCAGCTTCTATCTTAAACTCTTTTTTTTTTCCCCCCTGTTTTAGGCGAATTTACCCTCCTGATGATAAGACATTACTTGAAAAGTATGAGAGTTTGTTAGCCACTGCTTTTCAGACGTTTCTTGCTGGAAGAGCAGCTTCACTTCAGCGGGAAATGAATAACCCTTTAAAAAGAATGAAGGTATTGAAGCACAAGAAGTATTGGCTTTAGGAGTTATTTATCTCGGAATTCATGACCTTGTGGATTAGTTTCACGATAATCATGTGTAATGGCTAATAAATAGCATTTGATAATGTTTCCATCATTTTATTATTATTCTTTGTGCAGCTTGTGGGCCAGATCCTTGAATCTGGATGAACTGCAGTGGACCCAGGGTGGAGACAGGCTAGATGGCTTTAAGCTACTTTACCATTTCCCTGATCCTCAGCCTTACCCCTGGCCAAACCAGAGGTTGGCAGAAACTGCTTTTGAGCTGGTAATTGCCTCCTTCTTCCTCCAGTAATGACCCCAGCCTATTCATCCACTTGTGTGGACTGGAATGAGAGATATCATAAAACCAGCTCCACTAGTTTAAGGCATCCAAAAACTCTGCCTGATTGCCTACTTTTGTAGTCAGAGATAAACAGTAGGAGAATGGCTACGTTTAAAATAACCAACTAATGTGATTTAATTTGAAAGCTGAGAAATAGTTTCCCATCTTTGTAGTTGGCATCATCCAGCAGTTTTACAGGAATCTTTGTTTAACCCTTTCTTCAGACTTTTATCTTTAATAAATGTTAAGACTTGATTTTAACTTTCAATTTCATGTTGATTGCAAGCAGAGGTGCATGCATCAGAAGAAATACTTTCATATCCTCCTGTGGAGGGATTCATAGTCTTATGTCAGGAATTAGTAATCAAAGTAATTGCAAATTCCTACCAGTTGGTGCTTGAACTTTTGAAGAATAGAATATGTCCTGCTTTGAATTAATTGTAGTGAAATTCCCGTTTCTAGGAGGAGGACATTTTGGATCTTCTGGAGCAGTGTGAAATAGATGATGAAAAACTAATGGGAAAATGCACCAGGCAGCGAGGACCTAAGGTATTTGACTTTTAGATGCCAGTTTTTTTATTTCACTCTGTAGAGAAGTAATCTGAGAATTTTAAGTGGGGAATTTAGTTAGCTGACCCTAGTGGAAGATTTCTTCCTCAGACTGCCATTAGCCTGTTTTTTTTTTTGAAGTATGAAAAACTTGGTTGGACATTTATCCAACTAAATCCCATTGAAATTTTAACTGGATACGAGATCCTTCTTTTCTTCTCTAAGCTATTTTGAAGAATTGTTGTGCATGGCAACAACTGTTGTATGAGATTGCTTGATTTCAGTGTGTGAAATGATTTTTATATCCATAGCCTATCTCAAAAGAATGCTTTCATCTTTAATTGATTAGTGCCACTAAGGAATTTTGAGATCATGGGATAAGAGGCACTATGGAAGCTCAAAGGATTAATTATGATTGTGATGTATCTGTAGCTTGCTTACTTGCTGAAAGGGTTGTACAGTATATCTTGGAGCCTGTTTCGTATCCCAAATCCGCTTTTAAAGTGAATGTATATTATTTTTAGTTTAATGCTTTCTGGTTGTGTGCATAGTTCATGCAAGTCTTTGCTTTAAATACACTACATATCTCTGTAAGCCAGTAAAGATAAATAGTTTGGGCTTGGCTAAAATAAGTACTTTTCTTATATCCTGCAAACATTTTAGGTCAAGTCTGCTTAGAAGAGCCTACATTTATGTTCCTGAGCTCTGATGGATTTGTTTATGAATGCACGTAAATTTTTTTACAGCATTTTATGTTTCTGAGAACATGGTGAACAAATCTGGGAATTTCTGTACAAAATGAATGCTGACAGTTGTCCTGAGCTTGCAGGGGTACTTTATATATGTGCAAGAATCCAAAGAGCTACATCTTATTACAGGCGTGCATACTGGAAAAGAGGATCTGCATACCCAATCTGGTATTAAGATAGATTTGCAGGAACCTCATTACAAGTACGGGGATTTTGTGAGCTAGTGATTTAACAGTGGTGGATTCATTTAAAGAAGAAGGGGGGGGGGGGGGGGCGGAAATCCAGTCCACCCTGTCCACCCTGGCAACACACTCAACCCACAGTCTTCAGGGATTCTTTTCCTTGAGGTTTTGTTTTCAGTTCTTTAACATAGGGTCCAGCTGAATTCCAGTTCAACATCTCAGTCACGTTTTTTCCTTTTCCAGAAGCCCTCAGAGAGCATCTGTCTAGTTGACTGTATGCACATGGACTTGATCTATACTATCTCTGCACTGGTTGCACACAAGCCATTCCCAAGCTGGAGGCCATAAACATTTAATAGGGTATTGCGCCCAAATTGAGAAATGTCTCTTAATTAGTTTTAAGATGAAGTTTGATGTATTTATGAGTGACGCTATATGACATGGTCTTCTTTTATAGCAGGCAAATGGATTCCGTAGCTTCCAAGCTGCTCTACCAATACAATATTGTTTACACTTTCAGGAGAAAGAAAAAAATTGCCTATCACCAAAATTCCCACTTTTTTTTGCCATAAAATTGATGAAATCAAAAGGGAAGGCTGTAAAACTCATTTTCTTGTAATCATAAAATCCTACAAATAAAGATCCATTAGCGTATCAAAAAAGTTACACATGCAAGATCTGATAGACAAAACAAACCTGAAGGAACAGTACTTTTCATGTCATGTTACCCAACATGAAAGGTTCTTTCAGAAGGTCATAAAGTCCTGTCCTCCCTTAAAACTCAGTGGCTGGCCTGCTGACAGAAGCTACCCTTAGGAAGTCAGATGCTCTGCCTCAGGCACACTCTTCCTTAGAAAAAGGAGCAATCAGGACTCAGAAAACTCTATACAGAACAGCTGGAATAGTTAGGAAGGAGAGGTGTTTTTCTCCTCATCCTCCTCTATACATAGAAACATATATATACACATATACGTACCTACGTATATCTGAGGGGGAAAGGGGTGTGTGTATATAAAGAAGCTTTGCGTGTAACAACTATTTCATATTTGCTAGCCTTATTTTTATTTGAACGTGATTAGGAGTTCAGTGTAGAAAACAAGTCAAGAATTTCCCAGAACAAAGGCATTTTTGCCTGCAATTAAAATATTACTGAATTCTACTTAGATTGAAAAATACATTCTGGAAATGTCTGGTTTATTTGTAGCCTCTAGAGGGCACCTTATCCTTACACACTGTAAGGTTTACTCATGTTTATTACATTGCACCTGTTTGTGCAGGAAAAAGAACTAAGGAAATAAAACCAGATATTTTAGAGGAAATGAGCAATTTTATTTTTATTTTTCTGATGTAAAATCAGATGAGTTTAATCAATGAAAAATGAGGTTAGCATAAGGAGAAAATCAAGGTGATTAGAATTGCTAAGCAATCAGATATCTCTTACTTTAAGAGGTCAGTTTAAACCCAGATCTAGCTATTATTTGTCATTACTGCTTTTTGTAATTTCTTTGACCTTTCTTTTTATTCCTCTTCGTTAATTGATGTGAAGTCTTGGTCGGGATGTTCTTAGTGTGGAATGTGTGAGGAACATGCATATGATAAGTGGGAATGAGATTTACCTTAAAGCCCCTGTGAGTTTTGATTGAAAATGTTTATTATACCTTGTATAACTCATCAGGAATGTCTGATCAATATATCTCCATGATACACAGCATTTAATGATTGGGACAGCTATTTCTGAGAAAGCAGTAAGTGTTGAGGCACCTTAATTTGTCCTTTTGGCAGGTAGATAGATATCAAAATATTCTTTCTGTAATCTGAACAATTGCCAGGGCTCTTCTCAATGGAATACACTTGTTCAACTCATCTGGTCTAACAGCGTGGGCTTGCATAAACATACTGTCGCTTTTAAGTTAGTGGCAGAAATCTCTTTCCTTCCTTGGCTGGAATATAAGTTTAGGTAGAATATGTTTAGTTATAAAGTGTATCTTGCAGGAACAGTATCTTTGGGGCTTTGTTCTGTTGCTCTTCACAATAAATCTTGGTGCATTACATTCTGCTAAGATAATAGGGCAATTTAAGTTCATCCTGAGAGTTCTTCTATTTCACTCTGACCCAAAATATGTTCAGAAATTATGATACTAATTTTTTTAAATCTGAGTTTTAATTGCAGTCCATTAGATGGCTAGGAAGATGAGGCCATCACCATAGCTTCTTATAGATAGTTACTGGAAAGAATGAAAATGTGTAGGAAAAAAAAAATGACCACATGAGCCTTCTTAGGATGATAGATATAATGGAGGATATTGCATTTTTCTTGTCTGCCTGATGGTAGATGGAAGAAGAAAAATTTTCAATTGTAGTTTATGTTTTTGCATCAGTTTCTCTGTCTCCTACTTTTTGCTTTTTGTCTTGCAGTATCCTTGGTTATAGCACAAGATTGATCACCTAATGACACTGCATCCCATGTGCGTATGGGACACCAAATACACCTAGCATAGCTTGCTATATTCTTCCAGTTTCTGCTTTCTGCAGGATGTGGATTAATCACTTTCTCTTTCAGAAGCATACCAGCCAAAGCTCCCTGATGTATTTCTTTACTTCTCATTGATCATTGTTAAACTATAGCTTCAGTTATTGCAAATATCGGTGAGGGATTGAAACTGATTGTAAATGGTATTCTGTATCACTTGATTTATGATTTCAAACTCTAATTCAATATGTCTGGTAGTGTAAGTCATACTTGAAATAAAATGATTTTTTCTTCCCCTTACTATGTTATGCTGCTTTTCATGTGAGCAAGATTAGGATTACTGTGTAGTGAACTTAATGAAATATTTAAACATTTATTTATATTAAAGACAAACTTCCAATCTAATTTAGGAGGGTTTAAATACGTACAAATGAATCTGCCTGAATCAGGGACCTAGTGGGATAGTAAAGTGTTCTTTTGGGATTATGAAGGAATTTAATTTCTTGGGTGTTTTTTCTTTGGTGTTTTGTTTTTTTTTTTTTCCTCTCTAGCCCTTGTGTTCAATGCCAGAAAGTGCACAGCCCTTAAGAAAACTTAAGAACTACAGTAGTGATAGTAGCTGTGATAGCGGTAGCAGTGTGTCAGAATCGGCAGAAGAAACTGAAAAGGAAGATCACAATGAAAAAAAAGAGAAAAAAGTTTCATATGATCTTGAAGAAAACAAATACAAATCTTTGGAACGATCGGGTAAGTTAAATGATCACTTTTCCAAGTAAATCTGGCATTTGCGATGAGTTATATAAAATGCTTCAGTATTTTAGAATGTATCAACATTTGTAACTCCAGGTTAAACACTGGTTTGCTTGTTTCATCTTCTTTAAGATTTTTTCTAAAGTAACAAAAATGCATTTTAAAAAAAGGAAAAATTGAATATTCTTTTGCCAAGAATGCTAAAGAGAAAAATACACCTGGGCTACACTTGGAAACGGTGTGAATGTTCCTCTTTGCTTTTAGATTTTTTTTTTAGCAGATTGTTATTTTTTTCCCTGTAAAAGGTAGTCTTATTAAGCTTGAATTTGCTGGAATATAGAAAGGATAAAGAAATGTATCTGGAGACATACAGAAGGTAATATATTCCAGATGAGATCCCTGCACAGATTTTTTTTGTGATTGTTTTCTTGCTTGCTGCAGAGCATTAGTGTGAGCGTGTTCTGTTGAACACGGTAGATATAGCATGTTATTTTTTGTTTTAGCGGTGTATTGTCTCAAAGAATTTCATCATGTAATTGCACACATATAATGCTGCTTCTAAAATTTTATTTTTCATAGCAGCATCCTTTATTTAGCAGAAGACTGAGTTAAAAAACTGTACAGCTATGCAGGAGCAGATGAGGGAGACCGGATCTGCAAATATGGGATCCATCAACCAAATTTTCTCTCCTGCTTCCATATTCTTACAGTTAGGAAGCCACACATAGTAGCCACGTACTTTTTGACCTATAGGGCATACGCACTCTGTCATAAATCTGATGCATGTTATAGAGGACTGGAGTCTACCTGATTAAAGCTGACTATGAGGAAGAAATAAATGTTCTTATAGAGTATGTAAAGTATGTATTCTTAGAGGATCCGACTTGACTGACTGCTACATATATAGTTGTTAGTCAACATACTTTATAGTACAACACGTGTGCACACATGTTGGTCAATATATGTTGTTAGTTACAAAGACTGAAAAATGGGTGTTAGAAGAATAATAAGTAATTGCATCATTCATTTAATTTGTCTGCAGGTAGAATGAACTGGAAACCTTCGATTAAAAATATAAAATCTCCATCATATTCATCCCCCACATCATCCACAGGTCCAATAAGGCGTTCTGTAAGCTGCCCTCGTTCAATATCGACTATGCAGTCACAAGCAGCTGAGCAACGTCCCTTTTCAGCCAAAGCATCTCTGCAAATCCAGCGTGCATCCTCAGTGAATAGGTCTCATTCTTTAAATCGCAGCCCATCTTCGGCCAGAGTCTCTCAGACACCCAGCTTGGGAGCTATGAACTCTTCAGGGGTGAGTTAGCACAGCAGTTGCATTCAAAATGCGTTCCGTTTCTCTAAAACTCAATAAATACATTACTAATTTTTACAATGTCAGAAAACCTGAGGTACTATAGTCAATGCTATTTTGACAGAAGCTCCCGAATATAAGATCTCTAGACCGGCCTATGACTTACAGTGAGCGCTAGCTGTGATGTTTCAGTGTTTCTGGTGCAGCAATACAAATGTCACATTTTGTGAGAATGGAAAACTTAGGGTTTTGTGACTGGGGAACCTGCTCTCCTAAATAGTTTTTTGAAGATAGAAAGAATTTTTACCTCTCCCAAAAAGTTTCTGTGATTTGTTTGCGGACTGCTCGTTCTGAAATAAGGATGTACCTGCCTTCAAAATCTTTGCAGTAACAAAAATACATCAATATTTAAAAACCAGTGTATACTCCAAGGGTAAATACATTGTACCAGAATAAAACATTAGTAAGACTTTGTATGGGTGTCCATTGTAGAAGGTGGTGTAATTAATTTTCAACCTAGTTACCTATATTCACATATGTTATACCACTGCAGTAGAGCTCTACTTCCAAAGTGAACGATTTAAAATTTATAGATAGTTCTTGTCATCTTTAGGATTTGCCACTGCAATAACTGTCTCGGAAGCCATCTTTTTTTTTTTTAAAGTGAAAGTAAAACTTCTTTCATTTTGAAGCCTGTTCCTGAGACACACAAGCATTTAGACTGAGGTGGTCTAACTAAATAATTAATAGAATAAATAGATTAAGCACTTTTAGCTGTTTAGAATTTGTGTGGTTAGTTGTAATTTCACAGTGTACTTCTGAACCACACACTTTTTCCTTTTGTGACGAGACTGTCATCCTCTTTGGTATCTCCTTCACAACCCAGGCATTTCTTCCTTTGTGTTTGCATGGTGGACCATGTACCCGCTTATCCCTAGGCAGTATTTGCTGGGATCGGTCCCCAACCTCATTCAATATTGTACTGGGTGTCGGTGCCAGTGCATTTCTATTCATGCTTTTGTGCCTGACCTGTATATTTCATCGCTCAAATAATTCATCTGGAGATGGGGCAAAACAAATTGGCATTTTTAACCCATATTTGCAGCCTTTCTCTATTGTGGTGAGCTTTGATTGTGAGAAATCCTTTTGTAATGCTAATTAACTTGCTTCATAGTATGTACTATTTCTAATCATCATTTTTATCCGGTAGAATGCTCATTGTCTGGTTTGCCTGTGAGGCTTTGTCTAAGTGATGAAAAAGGATCCTTTTAAAATTGTGTGCTGATATCTTGTGAAATACTCCTTAACATGGTTTTCCATCTTTAAAGTCAGCTAATAGAATTGGAAAGACATTAAGATTGTGTCTTCACCACAACGTGTTAAAGGTATTTTTTTATCACATTAGCTATCTCAAGTTTAAAAAGTACCCTTTTATCATCAAGATGTACTCTGAGAGTTTAATGAGACAGGGCTAATATAGATTTTTCTATTCACATTAACTCTATATCAAATACAAATCACTGAAAGATTAAAAACAGTCTCTTCCCATCTGACATTAAAAATGGGCTACTCACTTAAATTAACATTAGTAAGAAGCCATACTCTCTTTTTCATTGAGAAAGCTCCACCACAGAAATGATCTTGATACGCAGAACAATTATGTTGGGTGATAGAGCTTAGGTCATGCTTCTTAAAATAATGTGAATAAAATTACTTACAGAATGGATAAGAACTACATAATTTAGTACTGTATTGTGAATGGAACTCTGTTCATAATTATTTTTGCAACTAAGAATAATATACTATATATTACTGCTAGAATAAAATTAAAATTGATAAACTGTAACTTACTAAGAAGAAACCATTTATGCGTGATAAAGTATTAGTTTATCTATCCTTTGGGCAAGAAAAGAGCAGTATATTGCCAGTTTTGGAGGCTGCTGAGATCCAAATGTACTAAAGGTATGGAAACTCAGTTTAGAATAAGCCATTTACAGTTGGGAATTACAGACACATTATTATGGCAGTTAAAAACAAAAGTGGATTTGGAAATATTTGCTATCTTATTTCAGCCACATTATTATATATCATATAGCAAAATATTTTGTTACGCTTGAAAATATTTATCACTTACTTAAGCAAAAATATCCTTAAGTAGGTATTGTAGTTCCTACAAATTACAAAGATTTAGAAATGCCTAAAAATTTTGCATTTCACTCTTGAAAAAAAATAAAATTAAGCCCGCTTAATCTTGCAAACGCAAAAGTATGCAAAGGTAAAGAAAGAGGATCAGAAATACTTCTAAATAGTGTCTAAGATTTAAAGAAAACCCCAAACCCCTCCAGAGATGGTCTTACACAGGAACTGTAGGGGTTCAAGTTGGTGTTGGTATAAAAAGCACTGATATTTTAAACAAAATCCTGGACAATTGAAGCCACTGTCAGAACCCCCACTGACCAGAGGAGGAGCAAAGTGTCCTTACTTTTTAGCGCTTCCTGAATTCTTGGCACAAAGACATATAATTGGCAGTTTCTGTTACATTGTTGCAGTGTAGAACTGAAAGGAAGGTTTTTATGACTAATAATTTCTTTTCATTACATTGAATTTAAATTTGAAGTCTGTTATCTGTATTTCAAATATATATTTTAAATGGTGGGTATCGTAAATATCGAATATATACTTGTTTATTCTGTTTCCAACAAACTTATATTTGAACTGTTTTTCTTGAATTTCTTGACAACTATAAGTTACAGTGATGCATTAGTGTACGAGGCATATGTGTGTATATTAGTTATGTATTAGTTATTATGTCTATCCACTTTAATAATATATTTTATGTCACCCTATTTCAAATTTATTTTTGTCAAGGAAGCATCTTTGTAATGTGATCTAATGACATGCCTGAAATTTTTCCTCTGCTTCATATTGGTTTTTAGAGTGAGTCTTTGCTGCAACAGAAAACAAAAGAGCAAGAAGTTGCTTTGACAAAAGAGACTCTTCTCATTATCAATGACATGAGAATGAAGTTCCCAGGTAAAACAGATGAAGAATCAGAATTAATTATAGAAGATGTAAGTATCTATAAATAAGAAAGAAGACTTACAGGCTAAATGCTGTTTAGGCCACTAAAATGAAGGAAAGTAGAAAGCTCAATTTATGATTCATGAGCTCCTGTGGCCTTAAAACTTCCATAGCTCGGGATAATTCAAAAGACTTCAAAAGTTTGGAGCTTTGCATACTTTCTGACCTTAAAAGAGCAGCACTGAAAACATTCCTATGGCTTTATAAAATATATGAGAAACAATCAGGAAGGTTAGGAAAATTCAGTTTTTCATTGTGGAGAAAGTTCAAACTTTTAAGTAAGCTAAGAAGAATGTTACAATTCATTAACAGTTTATATTTCATCTGATATTGTTAGTACAGATCCTGACATGTTTAACTTGCTCTTGAATAGGCATACTAGAGAACTCAGAATGGTATGCTGCAAGGCAAACTGGAAGTTTGCTAGTCATAAAGAACACCAGTCACACTCTTTTTGGCTCTTTTAGTTTGCCAGCTTACCCTTTCTTACATCCAACATTGTCCTGAGCCTCATCATTTGGTATCAAAGGCTTGTGAAACAATGCCCGATCTAAAGGGCAATTAAAAAGCAATACCTAATATTCAGATATATAAGCAGAAAATACATGGTATCTAAATCCCTTTTAAATATCTAGTGCAAAGAAACTAACATCAGCTTGGAAAAGACAAAAAATGAAGATAGATGATCTTTTCTCAGTCTAGTAGAGATATGGAGGGATCTAGTAATTAAAATTAACACCTGTATTCTGATGTAGTAAGCACAGCCCACGGTGTGTTAAAATTCATCTGATTCATTATCCAGTCTGAAATGTCCTTTGCTCTGTGAGCTTTCAAAATGTTGTTTATATCTTTAGTCGTCTGTGCAACTACGTCACAGTGGAAAGGAATTCTCCTGTAATGATGGTTGATTTGGGCAATTCTGGAAGATCGCATTCATAACTAGCGTATTTAGTTTCTCATCTTAGAATCAGAAATAAAATGCTTCACTAAATTTTCTCCTTCTGCCATGTGAGAGTGTGTGTGCATTTATGTACGCATGGGAGTGTGTGTGTGTATGCACTCCATCTAGTGGTGCTTTCTCATACAACGTTAGTTAGCATGGCTATAAATGCACTTTCTTATTGCAGAATTCTTTTATAAATTTGTCTGGCCTTAAGCAGTTTCTGATGGGAAACAATATTTCATCATGGAAGGAAACAAGTAATGGTATATTAGTTGTCAGTGAAGCATAACTTGTTGTAGGTCTGGAATAGAATAGAAGGATAAAATAACAAAATTAAAATAAAAAAGTATAATCACAGCTCGAGCTATTTTGGTAGTACCTAGACATCATAAAAGGAGAGTATTGCAGTTCGTATACGGTCATTTATAAAAAAAGATGTTTTCAAGGTATGTCTAATATCCTTTGTGCAGCAAAAAACCTCACTATTTAAATAGATTAACAGTTATGTGTTATTGAACTTATTGCTGTGTTCAAGGAATCCGAGCTGAGTCAGTCAACATAAGTTTCTACCTGCTTTGTAGTGTATGACGGTCAGAATCAGCTGGAAAAGAGGGTAGGATTAAACTGAAAGATTGCATGTCTTTGCAAATGTTCCCCCACATAAATTTGCAAATGTTTTCCTATTTCTTTTAGAGAAAAGTTCTTTTCACAGAGGTCTTTTAGATGCTTACACTTTTTAGCATTAGGAATGCTCATGAATGAAATGCCAGATTTCAGTTGGTTTTATGTGTGTTATCTTGTGTTTTAGAAAGATACACCTTGTGTATCTTTATGTTTTTTTATCTTGTGTTTTGCAATGACTACAGATTATGGATAATTGGAAGTATCATAAAACAAAAGTGGCATCCTATTGGCTGGTGAAATTGGATTCTGTAAAGCAACGAAAAGTAAGTGACATATTTCATTTTCTGAAGATCATCTGAAGTAGACACATAGCAGTGTTTCTACTGGTGTTTAGCAGTAGCTGGGAGTGACTTGAGATGCTAAAAAACTGACTATTAATACTCATATATATGAATTAATTCCATTGCAAGAAATTATGTTGCTCCATATTTAGACAAGTATAATTATCCTGGAATATAACTTTAAAAAGAATTTCTTAAAAATTAGTCTTCTGAAAGAAAAGCAAACAAATAAATGATTAGTGCTTACGTACCTAATTTTTAGCAAACATTCTTAGAGGTGTATTGATTCAGCAGATTTGAGTGATAAGGGATAAACCAGTCAGTAGTTTCAGACCAGGCCTATTAAAACTCCATTAGAGTTAGTGATACTGCACTTGGTTATTTGACTCTTTGACCCACAGTATTACAACAGATCATGTTGAATAAAAAAGAGACCTGCCAAGCAAAGACTATTGACATTGTTATCATGTTCAACTAGCTTGTTTAGTCTTGCAAAGGACAATTATATTTGTTTATCATTCTGTCTTCACTCACCTGCTATCTAGGAGCTACTGTTGTGCATAGCATCTAAAGAGTTCTTAATCTGTTTAAAACCTGACATACGGTAGTATGTCAGTCATATCTGTATGTCATATGTCAGTCAAAATAATCTTCCCAGTGTAATATTTTCCTTAATGTAGCAGAAATTATATCTATTATTAATACTTCGGTGCCCCTAAAGCAGTATTTTGGGTCTTTCTCTGCCTCAGTCACTGACACATTATGTGGATTAGCATATCAGTTCCAGGCATTTAATCTCTGTGTGTCTCAGTTTCACAATCTATTTTTATAGACCATAAAAGAAAGTAACTTAATCAAAATGCTGCATACATGATAAATATTATAATTGGAAAAGCTTGGTAGATGGTTATAGAAGAACTATTTCAGATCCTCCTTTCAAATGACTTTTTATAAAATCAGCAGTATGATCCTCAGTCTTTCAAGTTGTATTTTATTGAATATTGCATTAAATGCTTGTATTTTCATACTGGACAGAGAAAGCATGTCCATTTAATGTGATGTCATATGATAGAAATATATTAGTCTATTCAAGTTAATTTCAGATATTAAATGGAATATGTGTCCACACGGCTTTCTAAAACTAAATTAGACATGACAAACTGAAGAAGAACTTGGAAATGTAGGATGCTATAATTTAATCAAAATTGTACTCAAACCATGTCAAATGGCAGCACAGATCTATAATTTAGCAGAATTATTTCTTGTGCCATTGACAGGAATCAGTAGAGCAACCAACTTCATTGGCTGAAATTGTGTCATTTTTTGTTTGATATCTACAGCTGTTCTGCTGAATAGTCCTTTGCTTAAAATGATCTCTTATTTCTTTTGAATTACAG